TTTTTTTCAAAAAAAAAAAAAAAGAATCAAAAAAGTAAGCTCTGCGCTACAAAAAATGTATTTTTTCTTGTCTTTTCGTATAAAAAATCTATGACAATCAGGCAATGCAGTTGTAAATTAGCCAAAAATAAAACAAGAAACAGAACCAAAAAGTAAGAGAACATTTACCGAGTCAGTTTCTTCAACAACAGCAACAAGAAGCAGTACAAATGCACACAGATAAAACATATTTGTCGTTTGTTAAAACCTACAAAACACTTTTAACATTTTATCGGTAAAAAATGATGGGCAAACAGAACGAAAGAATGACAAGAAACGAAAAAGGTAGTAAAAAACGTCAAAACAATATAACAAGTTTAAACGATTTAAGCTCATTGCCTGCTAAAGAAAAACAACTCTTACTTGAATTTTCTCTTCTATTTGTTCTTACTCTAAAATTTCCATAAAGACAAATCTTTGACTGTACTGTACAAAAAAAGCAGACTAATAAATAAGAAAGTCCTTTCACAAAATTTTACACTGTATTATTATCCATAAATAATTAACAAAAAAAAAGGGAACAAAACTGAATACTGTTACGGTTATATATATCTATACATTTCTGACAGTAATAATAAACGATAGTAACCAAAAAAAAAAAAAAAAACTACTGCACTGTTACTGAGAATATAAAATTGTTTTTGCAATTTCGCTCCGATTTCCAACCTTTTTATATTTTTTTTTATTTTTTTTTCATTATTTTTTAAATGTTTTTGTATAACCGAAGAATTTAGGAGCAGCATTCTGCAACAGCAATTGCAGTAGTACTGTTGTTTGTTCAACCATATACCCACATATATAAATGTTACAACAAGAACAGCGAAATTTCTTCAAATTTTTTGTCTACAAAATAAAACAAGTAATTTTTGCAACTTTTTGCTCCTTCTTTTCTCTCTCCTTCTTCCACTTCTCCTCCTTCTCCTCTTCCTCCTCCTCATCGACTGTACTGTGAAAACACTAAGCGGTTCTTTCTAATGACTTTAAGACAGTTAAACCTTAAGTAGTAGACCAGAAGGTTAAATTTGTTGACAAAAAACCGCAACGACGTCAACCAACAACAGAACTGACAAATATTTGTAAAAAAAAAATTAGAAAGTAAAAAAAAATGTACAGTTTTTTTAAATGCCTAACTCAGATAGAAATTGACCACCAACGATCGTTGACTGTCGACTGCTCGATATTGTCGGCCGGCTGGATCGGTGATCAGATGATTGAATGAGGGTAGTGACTAGGAACTAAGCTAGCTAAGCCTGAATCGAGCTCATGTTTATAAGCGGTAAATGCGGAATGACCAGTTCTTGACGGCTTAAATTTAGGTCAATCTGTTTCAACGCCAACTTTCGCTCATTTCTAACCTGTTTTTTACCTTCCTTATTCGTCACATGTTTTTTTTGCTGTCCAACTAAAAGATTATAATTTACCTATGCATAAAATGTTAGATGATTAATTTTTTTTTAGAATAATAAAAAAAAAATTTTTTTTTTGAAATTGTTATTAAAAACTTACACACATTTTTGTGACCAATACTATTTTTGGTTTCATCTGTTTTGGCATAAAACACGTTATGAGAATTTACTTGGAATTTTTTTTTTCAGTACACTGTCGACATATTGGTTCTATAAACCAGCGGAGGGGAAAAAAAGCTAAACAACTGGATATCTACCTTCACTGTTGTTGGCTACAATACCTTATCCAGACATTTGTGAAAAAAAACTTAATCTTGTTTCCATTTAAAAAAACTTTATAATTTTAGTTCTTTCATCAAAATTAACAAAAAAAAATTGACAATGAAAACGATCAATAGCAACATAATTCTTCTTCTATTTTAGTCAGTTCTGCAATTTCTCAAATAATTTAATCGGTTATTTATCAGCTTTGAACAACTGAATACCTATTCAACCACTAAAACGTTCAATCAGCACATGTTAAAAATTATTGAAAAAAAAAAAGAGATGGTCAGCAGTCTTAGCCGGCCAAAAAAAATTAAATTAAATTAACAACCAATTTTAATCATTCAACAACAGTACTTTTTTTTGCATTCAGTACTTACAATACCCAAATTGTCTTACAGGTTCTAAC